GGCTTCTCCAATGGAGGGAGGGGGGGGGTAAGTCCTTGAACGGCAAAACCTACTCAAAGCTTGACAGACAGCAGTTGGATCGCACATGTAGATGGTGGCATTGTGCATTTCACTGTTGTAATTGGTCTGTAGAGTGAGCGAAGCGCAATCTCCAAAGCAGGTGGTGAACCTATAATTTTGAAATCTATTACAAAATATTGGCATTCATCCAACTTTTCGAATTGGAGCCCTTTTCCCCTCTGCTGTCTCAGATATCGCACGTTTGAGTTCAAACTTCGTATCGATTCAATTGTCGTAACAATCAATATGCATACAGTGCACATCGGCCCTTAAATATCTAGGGTACTCTTCACGGTCGTAGAATACAAGATCAGTTGGGAAATTCCCAATAAGTGGGGTTGTATTTGTGATTTTCAGAAGGGTGGATCGTAATGGGTGGATTAAAATTATTTTTTGGAAGCCATGGGGAAAAACTAGAAAGAAAATATAGATTTGATCGTATGCTCCACTCAATTTAGAAGAGTTTCAAAATTTAAAGTACTGAACACAACAGTTGGGCGGGGCGGTTGTGATGACGTCACTGAGTGTTATTGGTGCACCAGCATCTCATGGTCAGCGTGCTGTGTGTTGGCGTTGGGAGGTGGTCCGTGTGTACGGGACCACTTCCCAGTGCCTTTCACCAATGACACCACATGTCATCAAAATGGCCCCGCTTTTGAGTCATTGTTTCCAATGTCTTTGGAGGAATCCCGCCACCGCCACCCCTTCTCAGGAATCGTTCAAAGGAAGAGGGAAGGGTGGTGGTACGATTACAAAGGCTTTCGAAGGATCACCAATTAGGAGAACTGAAAGAGGGTCTAGCGCAAGCTCGTTCCGCTCGTAGGGCATGACTGGCCGAGCACGGCTTATCCCGTGGTGCTGCCGGACGCTTCCCAACCCACACCACCTCTTCCTGGCTCGCGGCCTGGGTAACCGATGGAGCGATAGATCTCACTTCCTATTTGCTAGCCTGTTGCATCCCATTTTGAATCATTCAATAAAAAATAAAAAAATCAATTCATAGCCGGAAAAACTGTATTCCAAGTCACTAACCCAGCATTCGTGACAGGTCTTCCGTCCACGTACACACCACTCCAGCAAGAAATTGGCTCCTCAGGTGGTGATGGAGTAGGTGGAATGATCATCTGAACGTTGAGATTTATCGGCTGTTCGACTTATTTGTGAATCAATATCGATCGATAAATCATTGCTTACAGCGTAATTGGCGACGTTGCAGTTACTGCTGGAATCACAACAACAAGCGGTGATTTGACGATCTCCTGGTAGTGTACCACACGTGTTGTCGATTTCAAGACTCCTGAAAAATCCAGTGATGTTCTCACCCACCGTAATCTTAGTGTTCGGCATCTTGGCAAGCGGATTGGTCCTTCAGCTACCAGAGGGACACAATTGTACCTACACAATTTGACTGGGCTTTGTGGGGCAGAATTAACCGTTTGAACGCCGAGTACTATTATTTATTTAATGGGCTG